AAACACCAATATTGCCTGCTGAGTAGTTGATTGAGCATGATCATAAGACATCAGCGCATTGAACCATTGATAACTTTCGATCCTTGCATTTAATTGAAAAGTGGTCTTGAGCAAAGCTGTAGCTGGAAAAATTTCCTACAAGTACAGTTGAAAGTTTTTGAAGCAGACCGATATGGTGAATTATTAGATAGACATGAACAAAAATCTTGGTTTTACCATAGTAATTCCCATACAAACTTCAAATGGTTTGTGCGATCTCAGTTTCTCACCAAATGGGTTCAAATTTTGAGAGGTTAGTCAGGATCTGATTTGGAATCGTTTAAGTATTGTGGAGCGAAAATTTCAAATTTTGCATCACGCTACTGTACATTGCTTATCGCATATTAGCTATTGTGTGCTCTCAGCTTAGTGTTCTAGATCCATTTCCACAGTTATTAATTGAGGGCTTGCGATGTCTGTACCATTTTTGCATTAGTATAATTATGTGGAAAGTACAATCATACCACAGACATAACACTCACAATCACATTCTTCTTAAATAAGGTTTTAGTTGAGAATGTGTGAGCATTTGTCATGGTGGCGCTACTGACGTTTTAAGCAAGCCACTACATTTTGAACTTATCAGTGATGCCAGTTCTTTTTCAGGTCAATTTAATAGATGTCAGCTCTTGAGAATGATAAGGGGACCAAGGCAGTATTGAACCCTCTGTAAACAATTGGTAACAGTTTCCCATTAAATGCGTAAATTAAGCCACTAAAGGGTACTTTTAAGTTAGCGTTCTGCTCTGATGTTCACTTAATTTCCCTAAAAATTCTAATGTGAATTTTCTGGACTTTGTGGAAGTTCATTGCACTGTTCTGAAGTTATCTGAACTTTTCAAAGGTCCCACAATTTCCAGGAGTTAATAGGACTGCTTAAAGTACTTTCGAAGTTTTTGAAACTACCCTGATGCTCACGGAACTTCTCTTAAAATCTTTATACTTTCCAGATTTGTTGCTGATTTCCCTAAAGATCCCTCAATTTTCCTAACAAACATGGATCTTATCTGAAGTTTTTTTTTTCTAGCATTCTAGGAAATTCCCAAAGGGTTTATTACTTCACACATAGTGCCAAAAACACAGTTGGGCACACTCATTAGTTAGAAATTTGCATGAACTTTAAAGTTGCTGGCAAGACTGCGCAGGTGTCAAATAATTGTTGTTGGCATAGTCTAATTTTTAGATTCTAATAATCATTTCAGCGAATTTTCAGCCAAGTCCTGCCATGCATCCGGTTCGCTGACAGGTAGCCATTGTTGATCTCCACAGCCAATTTCTATCTCCCGTAACAGTTGGGGTACTCCCTGCCCAGGATTAATGAGACCCCCCTCTACACTGCCTCAGGGTCGGCATACACGTGTGACTATCGCGGCCAAGGAAACACTCAAATACTCTTAACACACCCCGATGAACTCTCACACAGGTCTCGTTTATTTCCCTAACTTTCCCACTTTCTTATCCGTTATCTCCTACCTTAGCCTTCACTAGTTCTTCGTTCGTCTCCCGTTGTCGATGGGGGCCCCCTTCTCCTCCGTTCCGCTACACCTTCACCTTCACTTTCTCCTTTTCTTTGCTTCTGTTCTTCGTCCCTCGGTTTCGACTGTGGGTTGCCCAGTCGATTCACCTCTTAACCCTTCACTCTCCTCTTCTCCTACGGGTGCTCCCACGGTACCGTTTGCCGAGCCGTTCGCGAACGTGTCCACGACGCTCAAGGCAGATCCACAATGGCGATGAACACGGACTAGTAAACGCGGCTGGTCCGCGCCGTAGATAAATGTTGACGGTGAACTACGGGGTCCTGGATATTTCAGTAGGTTGGCTCCTCCTCCACTACTGATCGAGTTTCGCGCCTCAAGACTCGTGCAGACTAATAACTTTAACTCGAATAACGATCTTTCACTATGATGTATATCAAATTCGTTTTGGGTTTGTCTAGCTTGGTTTTCGACTACCACTTTTGACTTTTGCCAGGCAATTAGCTAGCAACGATGGCGGGTGATTTCCTTGCGCTCTCGATCGTTGATCCATTTTCCTTCAGCCCAATTTCGCCCCATCATGGCCCCCTTTACACCACCTCCCGATGGCCTCCCAATCCTGCTATCAGCGGCATCTGGCTGTGAGTAGTGGAACTTCGTGAAGTGGTTGCGTGCTGTCCAGTGTGTGGTGGGCGGTGTTGGCACTAATATTTGAATCTTTTCCTGGCATTCATAACATTTAAATCGAAACACTAAATTCGCGACAATCTCAACAATCTTAAACAGATAGACACACCACTGGTTACATATCGTTTTCCAAAATGTAGTAGTACCGAATAATTATTTCAACGTTGGGTGGTTGGCATCGGTAGAATGCGTCCGCTTCTGTAATATCAGCAGCAGCTGGCCCCAGCGTCAAAACACCGGCTTGCCAACCATGCCATTCCATTCACAAGGAAACAAAGTCATCCCGATGACTGGCACCCTCAACACTGCCGGCGCAGCTGCGGCACACATGAGGCACACTGAGAAAAAAGTTGAAACAAAATAAATGTGTAGAGTGACCACCCCTTGGGAATTCCAAAAGTACATAAAATTTCCCAGAATTTCTCGAATCTTTTTTATTTTTTCGTAATTAGCCTAAAGTTAATGGAACTGGTCTGAGTTTTTCTGATCTTCCTAGAAGTTCTCCGAACTTCTCTATTTTTTGTTTGCAATTCTCATGAAGCTCTTGGAATTGCCTGAACTTAATAGAACCAACAATCAATTCGAAACTAACGATTTTAAATTGGCTCACTACTTGACCAGCCTATTGGTCCCAAGCAAGTCGATTAACGTACCCCAATCTAGTATGAATTCCAGTACTACACTATGTTTGTTTTGATTCGCTATGAAAGTTTGACAGATAACATGAGGGGTTCGTGGATTTTCCTATGTTTCGAGGGGTGCATCGATTAGCTTGGGACCGAAGATAGTACCAGAGCTGAACCAAAAAGTTTAGCTCGTTTGTTCGGGACCATCTGGTCTTAGAGTTACCTCTATGATAGAACTGTCCATGAAAATCATTGAACTGTTCTAAACATCTCTGAAGTTCTCTGAATTTCTCAAAAATTTTAAAATCTCTAAAAACTGTCCGCTATTTTCATGAAATCAGTGGAGTTGCAATGATCTTCCATTCATTCTTGAAACTGCCCTAAAGCTGACGGCACTTCATGTAAGGTTCAAAAATTCAAATGCAGTTTTTTTTTTCGACGCATCATTTCAGATTGCAAAAAGCTCGCGTCATTCTATTCTTTTTGCTATTTTAAAGAAAATGACGTGAGCTTTTTGCAATCTGAAATGATGCGTCGGAAAAAACTGCATTTGAATTGTTCGAAAACGCATCAAAGTAAATTGAACCCGAGGGGGACGACTCTATCTACGATGCAGAAAAGATTGTGTTTTGATGTGGCTAGCTGCAAGCACGCTGAGTAGATAGAAGGAAGATTTATGTCGATTTTGAAGATTTCCTGCAAAAAGGTGAAGCACGATGCAAGTAGATGCGAGAAATGAAAGATGATTTTTCGAAGATTGATTCGCTAGTGTGAGATTTTTTGAGCATCTAGAATTGAGATTTAGATGTGTCGTTCCCCTCGATTGAACCTTAAAATGCTCCAGCATTGTTCTAGTGCTTTAACTATATTTTATGTTTGTATTACTTCTGCGTGAAGTTAACGATTTTACATAGTTGAAGATGCCAAGTGGTCATTTTATACGATAGATGAGGAGATAGAGTTGATAGTTCCGTTTGACTACGGCAGTGTTTTTTTTTTTTTTTTTCTTTATTTTAGAGATTTTTAGCACTACGGCAGTGTGAAAATTGTTTACAGAGAGTAGAAAGCGAGCAAAGGTCAATTTTGAGGAAGGCACGAATCGGGAAAATCATCTCTCTATACCAAACTCCCCCGTTGGAGAGGGGTGGTGGGGGGTATCCCCAGCCCCTCCCGCCACCACTGGCAAAAAGAGATGATCACCGATTTGCTCATGTAGCTACGATGTGTTGGAAACAGTTCTATCGATTTTTACTACACTCGACATTTGCTTATCAAAACCAGCTGCTAACACAATGGTGGATAAACCTACCCAACACTGTTAATTTGTAAAGAAATTTAAAAAAAAAACGACCGTTTGCTCAATTGCTCCGCCTGTTCTTTGTTTCCCTCAAATACCTAGTCTCACAAAGCGAATAACTGAGCAATTATTTACCGTTTTATATCAGAAAAATATGCAACTCCCTACCTTTTTTTTTCCTTGATTAGTTTTCCGTCGATATTGTTTTCCGTGCTGAGCACCAATGCTACCGACGCCAGGGAGGCAGCTCCCACACCTGGACCCTACCTATCGACCCATGAACCGGGGACCAATGGCTTTACTTCCCGTGATCAGAGATGTTATGCCTCAAAACATCCCGGCGGCGCCGACTGGGATTTAACCCAGGCCTGCTGGGGTGAGAGGTAATCACCACTACACCACCGGCGGCGTTAACTCCCTACCTTACTGCACACACATCCACTTGATTGCACTTTTTTACGATCGTCTATTCTCTGTTACTTTGCTCCGTGAAGTCTTTTTAGTCAAATGTTTTAACAAATGAACTAACAGTGTCTGTACCAAATTAAATAATAAAATAGAAAATAATTCCATCAATGCGTTTATTCATACAGGCCCTTATTATGGGTGTCACTTCACGGTGAAAACGAATTGAAGCGAACAGTTATCACTCAAGGTGAAGTAATTGCCGTGTAAATCAAACGGGAATGACAAGTTGTCATTTCACCGTGAAGTGACATCGGTAATAAGGGCCACAAACGCTTTAATTAGGACAATGTTCTACATCGTACTTTGTCCACTTTGTCAGTTTATCTCTCAATTGGCGTTGACGGCACTGTCAAAAAATTGTCTCTTCTAGAAAAAATTGACAGTTTCTTATGGGATTTTTCGGTGGAGTGAAAGGATAGTACGAATTTCCCCATATTTCACGCACAGTCTGACGTTTGCCTATGGACTTCACCATAAGAGCTACAACGCCAATATAAAAAAAAGATTATCAAAACATGTCTACACATATCGCACGGTAAATAGCCATAATTTATGTCATGCTTATTCGCCACTTACCGCAGATAACATCAATAAAATGCGCTTCCAAGCAACTCCAACCCGCTCCAACCCAAGCTGCCATGTTAAAGACAGTGACGATGACGATCCAAGCAGTCGATGGTGCGAAAAGCAAAACTAGCCTACTTTGTTGTGTCTGTTGTCCCCTTGAACCAAGATGCTGGTTTGCATGATGATGATGATGGACAGCACCATTTGACGCAGACGCCGGCGGTCGATTATCTTCCTTTTGATACCCCGAATGGGTCATAAACTGTCATAAGGAGGGTAATAATCGACGGAGTCTAGTTAGAACACTTGGAAGAATAGGTCGTTTATATATATATAAAAAGAACTAACACAGATGTAAAAGTAAAAGAACAATGACAGCGATCGCGGATAATCCCATCACGGATGACTCGATCAGTCGCTCGACGGAAGGAAGGAAACACTCGAACCGCAAACTGACACACTTGACATACAGAACGCAGGGGGCGCGCAGATGTTCGAGAGCAGTACCGAAGCAGTGTCACCCCTGTTTGTTTGGAATGTTTGTTTCGGAAGTAGTCAGTGCGGGGATTAATGAAAAAAACTTACAATTTTCACCCTCGAATTGGCGTGCGACACTTGAAAGTCATACACGACACGGATTTACCCATTGCAGTGAGTAATTGCTGAAAAGGGGTGATCTTCAGGGGCGATAGAAGTCTATTAAAAGGGATTTAATTTTATGGTCGGGTGGTTTTCTGATTCTGTTGCGAAGCACATGGTGTATAGTGCGAGATTTTCCCACCCCTGGATTACCAATGCGGATGCAAGTGAACCCGGACAACCTGTTTCCCCGGATTGAGGCTAGCCGCACATAATTTGATTAGTTACCGAGCCTTTCAATCACCGCAGCTATACTCCAACTACCGTTTCAATCAGCTTTCGGTTCATCCTCCTAACCTACATAAGTTCTGAGTGTCTGTTCTCCCTTTTTCGCACACAAATCGAGCGTAACTTATCGGAAATTAATTCGAGACTGCTCTCGATTCAGTTTAAATTTGGAAAATCATCTTCGGAAGCCAATCAATCAGCCGCATGCTTCGGAAAGCGCACCCCAAATAAAGAACCAGAAAAGCGAAATCTAAATAAACTAATAGCGTATAAACATACAATTCGATTCCCGTTGGCTCTGGGCGGATTTCTCCTCTAGCTATGCGCATGCCAGTACCAGTCCGTCAGTCAAAACATCCATATTTCACGGTTGTTCCGAGCTGGGCCGCCTGCTTGAAAGTGAATCTGATTGATACCTTTTGAGCAAATCGGATTTAAAATGAGCATCATTTTCGCTTTCCTATTGGAGTAGATTATGGTACTTAGGTCGAAAAAAATACAGGGTTTGGGGCATTCCGGTTGATGAAAGTGGAACCTTTAGGGAAGTAGTGCGTTCAACCCTGCACTTACAAACAGTAGAGCCGCTATGACGTACAGGGTAATGGTGCATTGCTGAACGATCAGTATGCCGGTGACCACGTTGGAGATGATTTGTCCGAAGCGGGCTGCTAGATTCGTTAGCGATATGGCGGTTGCTTTGACCTGCGTTGGGAAGATGGCTACTTGAATCGAGCGCACGAGAACGATGCAAATCGACGCAGCGACTATTTCCACGCAGAACAAGGCGGCAACCACGTAGGCATGGGTGATGTACTGGAGGGCAATTCCAGCACAGCCTGCCGTGATCAGGTTAATGTAAATCATAGTTTTTTCGGTGAGTTTACTGAGGATCATCGAACTTAGCAGCATGTAGCCACCGCACATGAGCCCCAGGACGATAGTGTAGATGAAGGCTTCCTGTGGCACTGTGTCGTTGCACTCTGCGATTACTGTCGATTCGGTAGCGTTGAGAATGGGTTTGACAGCTATGGATTCGGTTTGTATTATAGAGCATATCTTAGCTCCTATCCTTACCTCAGATTTGAACACAATGTTCATAATTTGAGGAAACCACACACCAAGACCACCGTACCTGAAAATATTTATTTATATATTATTATATTTCACGAATCCATAACAACTTACGTCATGGAAGCAGTAACATTTTGAACACAGCTAGCTGCCAAATAAACAGAATGCGGTAACTTCATCAACGGGGAAATCTGGATCCATAGGTTCTGCAGGGTTCCTGTTTTCCCTTCAGGCGCTTGCTTGCTCGGTATTTGACGATTCGAATCACCTTGAAGCTGTTGCACGTTGAACTGTTCACCAGGACCTTTATTCTGTTTGTGAACCCACCGGAGAACGTCCAAAGCCTCTTCGGGCTTCCCCTGACCTATCAAAAATTTCGGTGTTTCTGGGTACCAGCAAAACGCAATGCCAGCTATTAATCCAGGTAATGTGTTAACCAAGAAGAGCAGCCTCCAGGGTCGTATCGAGAACGACTCGGTGATGATAATCGTCCATTCGTATGACAAAATCCACCAGCCAAAAGCTGCACTATAGCCCAACCCTAGTCCTCCGATGGCACATGCATAACCGATCATTTGCCCTCTTCGATTAGCCGGACAGAACTCACCCAAGTAGATAATCGCCGATGAGGAGCTGGCCGCCACAAACAGTCCGACCAAAAAGCGCAGTACAACCAACAGATGGAAGTTGCTGACGAACGCGGCAGGGAACGAACAAGCCACAGTGGTCAGAAGGGTTATCTTCAGGACACCCTTGCGACCGCGGATATCCGTCTGGTAGCCCCAGTAGTACGTAGAGATCATGATTCCTGCAATCAATCCCGGTAAGCAATAACTTTTTACACACTATCCCATAGCTCACCCAAGAATACAGCTCCACTGATAATTCCCTTGCGTGACACATCCAAGTCCAGATCGCACTGACACGCCGGTAAAATGATTCCCATTCCCATGGATTCGTTTGCCGCGGCCATCACCGAAAATCCGCACACCAATGTCATCCACATCTGTGCTCGACCAAAGCCAGCTTCCTTCAGGGCTTCATCATACGTATGGCCGAGTGGCGCCACATCCGGGATGGCGTTGGTCAGGGGAATCGATTCCGGCTGGTCCTAAGCTTGTCCGGAAATTAAATCGTAGCCTTAAGCAGTTGGTCCTGAACGATTCGGAACTTACCTCCATGATTGCCATGGCAGCACCTGTGAGTGTGGAGTGTGCTGAGCTACTGAGGTTCACTTGAACAATGCAGTTGAAAATTGCACTCGAAAACTGCAATCGGAAGATAACCGGGCACCGCACACACTGCACACTGGAAGTAAAAATGCAAAAATGACTCAATATTCAACAAATCCAGTTCTCGCTGTAGAAACATGATGAATTTATTTCTTCTAACAGGGAAACCTTACAGGAATCAAATGGAACTGGTTTCAAAGCTTTGTATAGCTCTCAAAATTTTTAATCGTGATGGTAAAAATGATCCTTATTTAGTTACAATAGAAAAACATCTCAAGAATCCAATAAAAATGGTTTAAAATTGCGCAGATAAGTGAAAACTGCCATTTTGACCTGTTTTGCACCGATTCCGTTTTTTTTTTTCAAATAAATTATTCTTGTGGAAAAATATCAGAAATTCATTGGAAATATCCGTAGTGTTTCTTTTTTCAAAATAACCGATTTTGGAACAAACGGCATAAGCCCCAAATTGCACTATCCTAAGCAAGATTAAACCAGCTCCATTCGATTCCAGAGATTTTTTTTTTCTGTGAGAAGAAATAGTTTGTTCATGTTTCTCCAGCCAGAACTGGAGTTTTTGAATTTTAACACATTTTAACGTTTTTGTTCCCACTGTGCAACGGTGCAACAGTTTATATGACGACGGTGATAAGACACATGTAAGTGACTGTTGAGATAAGAATAAGCTAATAATTGTAATAATAAATCTACTTATCAAGTTTGTAGCTAGTTAGATCTATAAATATAGCAGTCAGTATTGCGTGCCTATTAAAAATATCACTTTTATTTATCACTAGCTGAGTGTGCCCGGCCTTGCTCGGGATTCAATAATAACTTGAGTTTATGCGCCAATTGAAAAAAAAAACATGCTAAGGGGCTACCCCCTATGACCTCCACATGCCAAATTTGGTTCCGTTTGCTTGATTAGTTCTCGAGTTATGCAGAAGTTTCTGTTTCATTTGTATGTGATATTGGAACAAAATATCATGCTTGATATTGATTTTACAAGCTCCTTTGATATTGCGAGACTTTTCACAACGTGCAAAAATCAAGATGAGAGTTGACTCGACACAAAAATGATTCCATTGCACATCGTTTTTTTAGAAAGAGAAAGCATAGTTCGCTATCTCTTTTTAATCTTCACCGATGGCATACGCGAAGGGACTGCTGCAAGCCGTTATGGAAGTTTCGGTTGCATTCGGGTGTAAAACAAAAATCATTAAACGCAATCTCACCACAGTTTGGTGAGTTTTGCAGTTGGTGAGTTTTGTTAGCTTGATACTCCGAGCTGCGATATCAGAGCTTGCAAAATCAACCGCAGTAGTTTGTTTGTTGATTTTTGTCTACGAAAATCAAGCGTGATCTTGGGCGTTGGTGAGATTTGCTTTTTTGATATTTTCCCAACACTGTCCGAGACTCAGCAATCAAATGTCACTCACACAACTAAGTGTGTAGATCAACTTGTTACATTAAAGGTTTGTTGCAATAATCTAGTATCTACTTGGCTCACATATGTCAGGTCACCGTCACTCTGATGTTGTAAAACACTTTTGTACTACATTGGCAAAAGCGGAGAAATCGTAATGCACAAGAAATGGATCGCACCAATTTCCATAAGTGAGGCAAACCATGACGAGGACTTTTTTTTACGTAGGACTACGTCTTTGATTTCTATATGAGGGTACACTTTGTGAAAACCGAAAATGGAACATGTAACAAATTAAGAAAGATTTTGAACGTTAATAACTCAGCTGCCCCTGGTCCAATTTCAATAACTTTATCACCAATCGATCAGAAATATGACTATGCATCGATAACAATGCTTCCGAATGTTGATTTTCAACAAAAAACTATTAACAAACTGGTAAATGTCCAGCATTGTCCAAAAGCGTCCTACATGCATATGCTGCTTCCCCAGCACAGTCGTCAGAGAGTAGTAAGTAGACGAAACAAGTTGAAGTGGCATTCGCCTCCGACCCTCGGGCGCGTGCAAATCCTCCCTGGAAACCGTAATATTTTGCACACTCATCGCCATATTCAGAACCAAACGCAAATTCTTCGAGATAACCACCATCCGTCGTCTGGCTCGCCGTGGCGATGTCTGACGTATCTCCGGTCTGATTTACGAGGTGTGCTGAAGGTGTTCCTGTAAAATGAGATCCGTAATGCTGTCACCTACACTAAACAAGCCAAGCGTAAGCGGCCATAGATGCCATCTACGTTTTGAAGTGACAGAGACGCACTCTAATACAAATTATTTTGATCAACCTTGATCAACTTTGAATCGCCACGGCCGGATATTTTCGATGGCAGAAGTAACAATCTAGCATCTAATTCGACGAAGACGGCAGGAAACATTTGTGAAGCCGAGTTATTTACGAGAGTATCGATGAAGAGAATCGATCAAAGTAGATAGGACCTATTAAAAAGTGACGCGAGATTTGTTTGAGCTCCAATGCTACCGATGCCAGGGAGGCAGCTCCCACACCTGGACCCTACCAATCGACCCATCAACTCAACCGGGGACCAACGGCTTTACTTTCCGAAGGAAGGCGTGATCAGAGGTGTTATGCCTTAGAACATGCCGGTGGCGCCGACTGAAATTGGACCCAGGCCTGCTGGGGTGAGAGGTAATCACGCTAACCACCGGCGCCGATATCTTTCAAGGTGATATCAAGGCGAATGAGATCGACCCAAATTTGAGTTTAGTTATCTCAGAAATAAGAAATAAAGTGCAGGAGCTCAGTGATGAGTAAATTTGCCTCATGTTTTTCCAGGATTTTCCAGGATTTTCCAGGGAAAAATTCCAGAATTTGAGAAAAGTAAAGATTGGATTCAGTCAGTCTATTGGTTCTGCTCCGAGACTGAATAAAATTTCTTTCGCGGTTTGTCGTGCGTGTGTGTGTGTGCCCCGTAATGGGGAAGCATCGGTCGCGAAGCCCGGCGAAGGTCCAGAACCCCGGTGAAGGAAGCTCCGGTGTACCTACCTCGAACAGGTTTGGTGTTCTCCCCATGGATGGGAATATCCAGCCAGCTGTGTTGGAAAAACGCAGCAAGAAGAGGAAGAAGAATCGAGGCCAGTCCGATGGCACGATTGGTCGAGACGATGCCTCTGCGACGAACGGAGATTTCGGTGACGCTGCTGATAAAGAAAATGCTGCCGACATGAGCGCGGCAAGAGTGAAGCTACCTCCGCTGGTAGTGAAAAATGCCCATCTCAACGAGCTCATCGCGGATCTGGCGTCGCTGGGCGTCAAAGCCGAATTCAAATTGGGCAGAGTCGGCACCAAGGTGGTGCTCCGTAACAAAGCGGAGTATGACTTGGTCATCGCCCACCTGAGGACTTCCAAGGTGGAATTCTTCACCCACGATATCCCCGGTGAAAACCCGTTCAAGGTCGTCATCAGGGGCCTACCAAATTTCGACCCGAAGTTTATCGAACATGAAATCAGGGACCGGTACAAACTGGCCCCAAGTGCCGTGTATCGAAAGACTAGAAGAGACGAGAATGTGAAGGCGTATCCGGATAGCCTTTTCCTGGTACACTTCCAGAAGGGAACGGTGACGCTCAACGCACTGAAAGCCATCCGGTCCATCAATTCCATCATCGTTCGCTGGGAGCCATACCGTGGCGGCCATCGCGATGTGACTCAGTGCCAGCGGTGTCTGAACTTCGGACACGGTACCCGCAACTGCAACATTAAGCCACGCTGCGGAAATTGCGCTCAAGACCATGCCACGTCCGAATGTACTGCGGATGAAGCTGTAGCGTCCAAATGCGCTAACTGTGGTGGTGCTCACCAAGGATCCAATAAGCAATGCCCTAAACGCGAGGACTTCAAGCGCATCCGAAATCAAGCGTCCACCAACAATCAACCAGCACGAAGGGAGGATAAGGCCCCGGCTTTCAGGAAGGAGGACTTTCCACCTCTTCATGGACAAGCGAATCCCAGGGTGCGATCCGCGCCCCCTCAAGAAACGTCTGGATTTTCTGCTGGACAAAGCTCTCCATCCCCCCCTGGATTCTGGAGGCAACCAACAGCTCAAACAAACAATCCCGATCTGTTCTCAGCAGATGAACTGATGGAGATTTTTATCAACATGACCGGTGCTCTACGTAAGTGCCGCAATAAGCCCGAACAGATCCAAGTGCTCGGTAAGTTCATCATCCAATATGGTGTCTAAACCGCTAACCATCGCTACCTGGAACGCTTGCTCTGTAAGAGCTAAGCAGATTGTGCTTGCCGACTTCCTCCGCTAGCATAGCATCGACGTGGGTCTTCTAACCGAAACCCATCTAAAGTCCGGCGACAGCTTCTGGTTGCCTGACCACAACATTATCCGGCTTGATCGCACCAGCTCCAGGGGGGGTGGTGCTGCGGTCGTCGTCAAGAAAGGAATAAAATACCACACTCTGTCCCATATCCGCACCTCTATCATCGAGGCCCTTGGTGTGGAGGTGGAGTCGTCGACTGGATACGTCCAGTTCATCGCCGTCTACTGCCCTCGACAGTGTGCCGCCAGCAGTGGACTAGCGGCTAAATTCAAGAAGGACCTGTCCACCATCACCCGTACCGGTTCCCGCTTCGTAGTTGGAGGAGATCTGAATGCTCGCCATGGGGCCTGGCGGAACTACCAGCAGAACCAGAACGGTCGTCTGCTGTTCGACCACTCACAGCATGGGCTGTTCTCCGTTTGGTTTTCGGATGAACCAACATTTATCTCACCGGCGGGCAACCCATCGACGCTAGACCTGTTCCTGACAAATATCGGCTTGTCCAAGCCGGTAGCCTTGAACGAACTCAGCTCCGACCACCACCCGGTGGTGGCTGAACTGGGCTGCAACGTGGCTCCTGCTTCAAGCATGCGCAAGGACTACCATCGCGTAAACTGGGCCCAGTTTGGACGCGTGGTAGACAGGCACATCATCGACAACCCGCCGCTTGATATCGTGGAGAACATCGACCGAGCGTTGGAAGGACTCCACCA